ATATTTATTATATACTATATTATATATATATATATATATATATATATATTAAATATTTGAATTAATATTTAGGTATATATAAATATAAACATATATACATATATACGTGTGCAAATATATATATATATAAATTGTGTGTATATATTTACGTATATTTCCGTTAATTTTTAAACACGTATATACGCAAAATTATAAATAATGGTATGTCTACGTCTCTATGTTATGTATATACGCATATGTGTATTTACAGTTGCGTTTCCATTTTTATTTGTATATGTATATATATTACAATTCCTCGTATAAATATCTTTGCGAGTGTATATATAGTAACATCGATCTATATTTTCATATGTTTGCCGTCAATATTCAATATAAACCATATCTATTCCATCTCGTATTTTGAACTTGTATGCACCCACCTTTGGATTTTGCTTTCGAATTGATAGATCCACAAATACGTTTGTTATCACTTTTGAACAAGCAATTATCTTTATGTGTGTTCATATATATATATATACATAGGAACACATATATATTGCATAATCTCTTTTTCCGTTTTGGCTCAACATACTTATTTTTTTTGTATATCCACTGTAGTCTATGGAGACCGCTGTGCTTGTCGTCGCCGCAACCACCGCACTATTTTGCGTCAAGGTGTTGTTCCTCAGTTCAGATCCCGTGGCCTTGGACCCAAAGAAGGTCATCGATTTCACTCTGATTGAGAGGGAGGATACATCGCACGATACAAGACGCTATAGGTATTCAAGCTGACACGGTGTTTGGTAGATAGGCACACTGTGGCGTTCGTGTGTTTTAAATAGTGAGTTATAGTTTGTCGTGTGTGAGCAGGTTTTGTTTTTTGGGGGGTTTTTTTCTCCTCCGACCATTTCGATAGTCGGATATTCACAGTAAATTTGAGTAGTATGGCTATATTTGGGCCTCTCGAAGTAAAATTGTGCGGTCACGTGTATGGGTCGTCGTTCTGTGTACCAGTGCAATGAAGTAACACAATCGAGTGCATGTTAAAGAATGATGCAGAAGAACTTGCCCATTGTTTTTTTATTTGAGGCTCTGACATCCTGAGTGCCTATGGATGAATACTTTTGTATTTGTTAGTGCTTTCTACTGGTACCCGTCTGTTTATAGCCATCTCCTTTGACTTCTGTCTGTCTGTCTGTACGTCTTACCTTTTAATCCCTGTTTATCTACTACCACCTTTCTGCGTAGGTTTGCGTTACAGTCACCAGACCACGTCCTCGGTCTACCAATTGGCAAGCACATCCTGTTATCCGCCAACTGTGGTAAGGACGGCAAGAAGTGCCTGCGCGCATACACACCCGTCAGCTCAGACGCTGACATGGGCTACTTCGACTTGGTTGTGAAGACCTACTTCCCGGTACGTCATTTGTGTGCGGCTGTCTGTGCAAGTTGCAGTTGCCGATGCATTCCTTGTTAGATCTTATCTGCGTCCGTGTGATTCCTGTGAGTGCTCTGTGTGCTGTAGCGCCCTTGGTGTCAATGTCCATTTCAGGGATTAATCATTGATTCTGCAGTAGTTCATTGCACGTCAGAAGTAAGTGTGCAGGCGAGTAACCTCTGCACTGTGCATGGCGAGAGTGTCCTGTAATGTGTATGTGTGGGTGGTGTAGTAGTCCTTGTCTTTGTCGCGATACCTTGCATGCGGGGGTGAACCTATGGCTGCTATTGCTGGGTGGCTAAATGCAGTGATTGCTTCGCTAAATCGCATATATATATAGATATATATATATGCTACCTACGGTTCGTCGTATTGAAAGTTCGGGCTTTCACCACGTCTCGCGCATCCAATCATCTGCGAAAGCGCCAAACGTTGCACGCAAAGTATGTACCAGCTTCCGCATAGCTGAACGGGGCACCACAGAGCCTACTCGCAAAGTCGTATTCCCGCGTTTGATATTTAACGATGAACCAATCAATCGTCACCGCGCAGAACGTCCACCCCAAATTCCCCGATGGAGGCCGCATGGGCATGTACATGGAGGAGATGAAAGTGGGCGACAGCATCGGTGTTCGCGGACCCGCTGGCAAAATCACGTATTCGGTAAGTCTTGCCACCGCTTACCGTTGCATGTTCTGTTTTTTAGTGTGCCATTTGTTGGTATGCACTTGGTATCGAATACTGCTGCGAAACAGGCCTGGTAACGAATGTAGGTCTCGCGTATATTGTGAGTCTTTGGTGGGCGCAGTATCTTCTTGGTGTGTGTTGTGTGATTTAGCTACACATGCTACACGTGCTTGGAATTGCCCGCCCACTAATGCAGCAGCATTCGCATTGTAGTATACTATCGATTGCCGCACTGATTGTATCGGGTTAACCGATTCGTGAACTGTCGGGAGAGTGCGCATTCTACAGTCAGGCTTACATTGTGCACTGTAGCACATATGTCGGAAGATTATTAATCACACGAATGTTGCTATCAAATGCACCACTTGCACAGGGACGCGGACAAGTGTTAGTGGAGAAGGGCAAGATGAGGGAAAGTGGTTTCAAACGCGAGAACAACGAGAAGTTGTACGCCAAACAGATCGGCATGGTATGCGGGGGCACTGGCATCACCCCAATGCTTCAGATAGTGCGAGCGGCTATGAAAGACCCACAGGACAAGACCGTCTTCCACCTACTGTTCGCCAACAAAACAGAGGATGATATTCTGCTGCGCAGTGAGCTAGAGGCCTTCGCCAAGGACCATCCCGAATCGTTCAAGTTGTGGTTCACCATTGATGAGGCTAAAGACGAGTGGAAGTACGACACAGGCTTTATCACCCAGGAAATGATGGAGAAGCACCTCCCAGCACCTTCTGATGATACGTTACTGATGATCTGTGGCCCCCCACCCATGGTCAAGTTTGCGTGCTTGCCCGGCATGGCTGTGATTGGACACGATTTCCACAATATTCTGGAGTTCTGAGTTATATTCACTAGTGTAACTTGACAGAGGGTCTGATGAAGACCTATAAATAAACAATTGATTCGAAGACTTAAATAAACAATTGATCGGCGTACTAGTAGATAGAAATTGTATCATTTAGTTATGATATTGTGATTAGAAGACCTAGATAAACAATTGATCGGCATACTAGTAGATAGAAATTGTATCCTTTATTTATTCATTTATTTATGATATAGTGATTAGAAGACCTAGATAAACAATTGATCGGCATACTAGTAGATAGAAATTGTGTCCTTTACCTATTCATTTATTTATGATATAGTGATTAGAAGACCTAGATAAACAATTGATCGGCACACTAGTGGATAGAAATCGTATCGGGTTGTTTATGATATAATGACAGACAAAGCTGCGTTGATGTGTAACTATGTATTTCGCGCTTGTCCACATACAGACAGACCCCATCTACTGGTATTGTAGTGATTCGCATCCTTTAATCATAAGCCGGGTGAATAGTTTTAAAATATATTCAAATGATAACCTCCTGTTGAATTTAGGAGGCTATGGCGTATGTATGATACATTTTCTGTTATTTATGTATCTCTATTCATCGCCTCCCGGCCTCCCCTGATGGCTGATGTTGAATTTACTAAATATTTAGGAGGTGCTCTATTTACTTACGTGGCACGTGGCCGACGTGACGCGCCATTTTTGAGCGACGTCATCAATTTTTGCATGTTATCATTTCTTGTGTATTTCGTGATGGGGTACACTTATGTATTTTAGGGTTTACGAAAGCAGTCGTACAGGGATTAATAGAGTGTACTAAAGAAGTTCAACTGTGAGACTGCGCAAGGCATCCTGTACACACCACTAGTACGTAGCAACCATGCCGCCCTTTATGAAAGAAAATGAAGAACCCCAACTGCCGCGGGAGCCTGGCATGCCCACACCCGTTGCCGTGCCAACCCCAACTGTTTGGGGGAGTGCACGTGCTAATAGTCCCGTAGATGGATGGATTCAGAAACTCGAGAAGGACGACCCCGCCTTTAAATCACTGTATGTGATGTCCTTCCGAACGATCGAATCCGCGGATTTTATTCGCTTGTGCGCGGCCATTGGGAAGTCTAAGTTTCTAGAGGAGTTTCATACTGGCCGAGAACTGGTCGAGAATGATCTGGATGCACTATCCCAGTGTCTGAGCGTTAATTCATCGCTAAAGATACTGAGTGTCGGAAATAAGAACTTCGGGGCTGATGGTAGGATGCTATCATATTAAAATACATAAATACATATATATATATATATGTAAATATATATATACAT